ATTTAGCTAGATGCTGTCTCAAAATAAAAAAGGTCTGTGGAGCCAGGGTTATAGCTCAGGGACATACAGCCTACCTGGCAAGCACAAGATCCTGAGTTCAATTCCTGATACCAAAAAACCTGAGTGCGAGGTACATGCCTATAATCCTGGCATTCAGTAGGCTGAGGCAGGAGGATCTTTGAGTTTGAGGCCAGCCTGCATTACTTAGTGAGACCCTGTCACATAATGACAAAGGGGAAAAAAAAAAAGCCTGGGGGTTGGTGGGTAGCTCAGTGCAGAGGCCTTGCTTTCATTCTAAAAGGCAGGCTAAGAGTGAAGTAGTACCAGATGTGTATTTCAAAGTGTTTTTGTGGAGTTTAGAAGGCAAACCAAAAATTTTTTCAACCTGATTTTTAACCTACTGTCATGGAAACATGTTTAGAATCGGTAGGCAAAAGACAAATTCCTCTCTCTCTTTTTTGAGATGGGTTTGCTGTGGGTGCAGGCTGACCTTGAGCTCACTGTGATGTGCAAGCTGGCCTCATTCATATGGTAACCCTCTTGCCTCAGTATCTTGATGCTTGGATTGCAAATGGGTCCTACCATGCCTGGCCTGGAAACATTTTGAAAAGTGAAAGGGATTAGTGAATGGGAACTACTATCTGTGGGGCTTCTGTGGGGATCAGACCCAGAGCGTTGCACATACCAGACATGTGGTTTACCATAGCACCTCCGTTGGACATTTTGATGTGATAGTACTTGATTTATTAATCTCATTAACTTTGACAACACCCTTTATGGTAGGTATTATTTTCGCATTTTATGTAAAAGGAGAGGATGAAGGGATGATTATCCTTACATAAGTCATATGTAGTGATGAATTGGAATGCAAGGCTCCACAATGTATCTCCCACCTTACTGAGCTGCCTTCTAAGAAGCTGGAAAGGAGCTGGACAAACATAATGGCATATTCCTGTGAACCCAGCACTCAGGAGTCCAAGGCAGGAGGATCACAAATTTGACACTAGCCTGGGCTACATAGTGAGTTCAAGTTTAGCCTGAACTACATAGTGAGATCCTGTCAACAAAACAAAACAAAATGCTAAAAGAGATAATTGACCTTAAATTGTTAAGTACCAATTGGATTTTCTCCCATATACTTTCCCCTTTCTCCATTATGTGCAAGAGACTAAAAACTTACTTACTTACTTAATTTATTTTTGTCTTTTTGAGACAGGGTCTCACTATACAGTTCAGGCTGGCCTTGAGCTCACTTTGTAGCCCAGGTTGATCCTGCACATGCAGTGACCCTTCTGCACGCCATCATGCCTGGCTTGTTTTATTTTTTTGAACATGGTTTCACTATGTAGTTCAGGTTGGCTTTGAACTCACTATGTAACCCAGGCCAGCCTTGAATTTGAAGTGATCCTCCTGCCTCAATCTCTCAATGCTGGGATTTCCGGTGTGTGCCGCCTTGCCTGGGTCAAGACCAAGAACTTTCTTTTCCTTTTGCTACATTAAAAACAGCGTGCATCCAGTACATTTGATTGTAGTTTTGTTATATTGGGGAATATAAATTTGTTCATGATAATAATCCTCCTCTTGGACTGCAGACTGCATGAATGAAGATTACATAAGGGGCCGTGATTGTCAGTGTTGGAAGGTGCTATGTTGATTAGCCAAACCTCTGGTCTCTGTTACTGTTCGTTATGTCAGAAAGGTTTCTGAGATGCTTCCTTCTGACCAGATGAGGAGGAGGGCATAGTCTGGATTGAAGTTTTGTGGTAAGTACTCAGGAGTAGGCTGACCTGGTTTCCAATTACAGCTCCTCTATAATAGTGGTAAAACTTATTCAAGTTTGGGTTTCTTCAACCTTTGTTTGTTATTAAGGTTTCTGGAGATTGAACCCAGAGTCTACAGTATGCTAAGCACATGCTATAATACTAAGCTACATCTCAGCAAGTTTCTTCATCTTTAAATGGGACTATTATATCTTCCCTTATAAGGTTGATCTGGAAATAAAACAACACACATGAAATATGCACCACAGTGCTTGTTAGTTGGCAGGTACTTTGTGAATCCTCACTGTTTTCCTGCCTCTCCTGAACTGACATATCCCATGTGAAGTTTTCAGGACCTGGACAAACCACAGTCTAGTCTGTGCTGCCTAGATGCTCATGATGATACCTGATGTAGTGTGTACTCTGTGTTAGGTCAGTGAAGGAGTGAAGACTAAGCAGATCTGCAGCTCGCTGGCGCCAATCCTTTGGTTTTTTTTTTTTTGCTGGAATTCCTTTTTTCTTTCTTTCTTTTTTTTTTTTTCTGGTACCAGGAATCAAACTCACAACCTTGCGCTTGCCAGGCAGGGTGCTTATGCCACTGAGCTAAATCCCCGGCCTTGGAATTCCTTTTTAAAAAAATGATACTGGGGGCTAGGGATTTAGCTCAGTGGGAGAAGCGCCTGCTTGATAAGTGATAGGTTTTGAGTTTGATCCTGGTACTAAAAAAAAAGAACATATAAAAAATGATACTGGAGATTGAACCAAGGGCCTTGTACAAGCCAGGCAAGTGCTCTATTAAAAAGCTATATTCCTAGCACTATTTATTTATTTATTTATTTACTTACATTTTTAAAAGACAGTCTTGCTTTATAACTCATGCTGGCCTTAAACTTACTATGTAGTTTAGGCTGACCTCAGATTTGTGGCAGTCGTCCTGCCTCAGCCTCCCAAGTGCTAGGATTGCAGGTGTGTGCTACCCTACCTGTCTGGTTTTATTTTGATGCAGTTTTATTCAATTACTCAAGGTAGCTGTGTACTTGCAGTCCTCCTACCTCAGCCTCCCACATAGTTGAAATTATAGAGTGTGGCACCAAACCTCAACATTTTGCAGGGATTCTTGCAAAGAGGAAGAGGAATATAGTTGATTGTAAGTTCCTTGCTTTATTGAGGGAGGGACTTCATTGTCACTCTTGACAATTTATTTCAGAACTCTTGGGAAATAAAGAATTACTCTTCCTTCACTGAAGCTTGGTTAGTAAATGTCTGAATCAACACCCTCTGATTATTGTTCATATAAACTTATATGTGACCAAACAGCCAAATCCCATTCTTGAACACCTTCAACATAAACCAGTTGTGTTATCAGTGTAACTGTGAGCCTGGCCAGGTCCCAGGATTGTGAATTCTGCTGAATATTCAATTGGTTTGAATCTTTTTATCAAAAGTTTTTTGTTCAAATAAAAATTTTTGCTCAACAGTACTGAAAAATCAAACCTGAAGAAAGATTACTCTGTTCCTGAAAAAATGTTATTACATATTACTGAGAACTAGAATTTTCTTTTTCTTTTTTTTCTTTTTGGTCTTTTTGAAGCAGGGTCTCTCTATGCAGTTCAGGTTGGCCTTGAGCTCTCTTTGTAGCCTAGGCTGGTCTCTGACTCACAACGATCCTTCTGCCTCAGCCTCCCAAGTGCTGGGATTACAGGCATGTGCCACCACACCCAGCAAGAAAGCTTTTCTCTTTTTCTCCCACTCTCCCTCTTTTGGTACTGTGTGATGTCGGGGATTGAACCCAAGGCCTCACACTGACCTGCAGTCCCCAGCCTTTTATTTGTTGAGACAGGGTTGCTCAGGCTGGCCTCAAGCTTGCAGTCTTCCTGCCTAGACCTGCAGAGCAGCTGGGATTATAAGTGTGGACCTTTGCATCCACCACTGTGAAGTTTTTGAAAAGGATGAAGTGCTGGGCTTTTGGATTTTTGATTCTGTACAGTGTACACTTGGAAGCATCATAGGAGGAAGCATCACAAGCAGTTCAGAGTGGAACCTGTGCTGTCAGTTTTGTATCTGAGCTCTGCTGCTGTGCAGCCGTGGTCACATCTGCTCTGCCTCATTTTTCCATCCACAAAATACGGGTAATAATAGTACCTACCTCAGGGCTGGCAGTGTAGCTCTGGCATAGTACCTGCCTGGCAAGTGCAAGGTCCTGAGTTCAGTTCCTGGTACCAAAATAATGATGATAATGCCACATCTCAGAGTTGCTGTAAGGATTTAATATATCTGTAAATACAAACATGTACATGCATGTGCATTGAAAGTAGTTAGTATAGTGCCCGACAGTTGGGTGTGTTGATGTTACTAAAGTGGACTTACCTCAATTTGAACTATCAAAAATAATTGTTCTGTTTTCAGGCTTTGACAGGGTCTTGTGTTTTTTTTTGTTTTTTTTTTTTTTGTCTTTTTTGAGACAGGGTCTCGCTATGCAGTTCAGGCTGGCCTTAAGCTCACTTTGTAACCCAGGCTGGTCTCAAACTCACAACAATCCTCCCACCTCAGCCTCCCGAGTGCTGTAATCCGAGATTACAGGCGTGAGCCACCACAGGGTCTTTGGTTTTTGTTTTAAACTGAGAAAACTCAAGGCCTTTGCGCTAAGCTACATCTTCACTCCTTTTTTATTTTCATTTTGAGATAGTGTCTTACTAAGGCATTAAGTTGCTCAGGCTAGACTTGAACTTGTGACCCTACTGTCTTAGTGTCCCAACTATATTCCCATCCCTTTATTTTTAGGTACTGGGGTTCAAACTGATGACCTCACACTTACTAGGCAAGTGCTTCAGCCACTGAGCTAAATCCCTGGCCCTCTTTTTATTTATTTATTTATTTATTTATTGTTTATTTTGTTTTTTTGGTACCAGGGATCAAACTCATGATCTTAGACTTTCCAGGCAGGTGCTTGTGTCACTGAGCTAAACTCCTGCCCCTTTTTATTTTTTATTTCATGACAGAGTCTCACTGAGTTGCTAAGGTACCCAGGCTGAATTTGAAGTTGGCATCGTCCTGCTTCATTCTAAGAGAGCTCCGAGTTTATATCCCTTTGCCACCAGTCTGTTTGTGGTTTTCTTAATGATTGCAGAAAGCGTCCCCTAACCTCTATCCTGAGTTTTGATTTTACATTGTCTGACTTAATAGCTAAAATGGCTTCTCTCTTCCTTTTTTGAGTGAGTAACCTTTCTTGGTTGGTTTCAGGGGTTCAACTAGGTACAGCTTCACAATCTCTGGACCCAGAAGTTGTATTAAAAGTTAAATCTGAAATTGAAGAAGAGCTAAAATCCCTGGACAAGGAAATTTCCGAAGGTCTGTTTATTCTTACTTTCTAAATTATCAAGTTTTGTTTGGTGTGGCTTACTGTTGATTTAGTTTGATGTTTATAATAGGATAGTCTCAGCATTATATAACTTCACTGGTATGGGATTGTAAGGGTAAAACTAGAAAATAGACTCCTTTCCTAGAAGATATATTTATAAAATTTAATGTTGAAGGGAAAAAAGTGAAAAACATACTTATTTTTGCATGCATGTGTGCTATAGTTACACTTACAATTTTGTTTTTGTTTTTTGTGTGTTTTTTTTTCCTTTTTTTTTTAAATTTTATTTTGAAAGTATACAACAGAACAAGTCAGAATAAAGCCAACTAGGATTATACAGTGAAATTGGTACAGAACTTCACAGCAGGTTACTGGGATACCAGTAATAGGTATCACAGTATATTTTGTTTTCTTTATAATAGTTGTTCTTTCAATCACATATATCAAAATGAGATGAAATATAGAATACTATAGAACTTATCAAAACAGAATATTGACTAGAGCAGTACCATTAATCAGAAAAGAGCAAAACAGTAATAAAAATATTTGCCTTCAAAGAAATGGTAGAAAAAGTCCCCCTTATTTGCTATGGCCAACCTTCCAGGAGATGCTCAGATTTCTGGTTCCCATTTGCTAATAGGTGGGTGGGGAGGGGAGAAGGAGGACAGGGGAAGTGGGATATTTGACTCTAGGCCATGTCGCAGTAGGTTCACTATTGCTTAGCAGGGAGGCAGGATGGTCATTTGTTTTCACAGCGTCCTCAGTTCCAACATGGCACGGATCTCAGGAGACACTGCTGGTTCTCCCCCTGGAAGGGCTCCCTGCTGTCCTTTTATAGCTCACTTCTCTTGCCCTCCCTCATCTCTCCACTGAACCCTGTTTCCTTTTAATGGAGAATGATATCTAGAATTCAAGGTTTGGGTGTTAGATGTGCTCATTGCTACCAAGTATTGTTACTCCCTGGTCTCTTTAGGAGATAAAATGTGACTTCCCCTCTCATATGTGTTTGTCTGAATGTATACATAATATACATTTGCATCCATGTGTATTTCCATATTTACTGATTGAAAATGGACTTCACTCTATTTCGTCCAATTCCAACCCAACACTGTTGGGCCTGTCCACTCCTTTCTATACCTGTACCTGTCTTCTGCATGAGAAACATGGCTCCTATTGTCTGTCCTTTTTTTAAATCCCACCTTGTATGTAACCATCTTACCATCCCTTTCCCTACACAGATGCCTGCCTTGTTCTTGGGGTGAACACATCCCTCTGCATGGGATATCACAAAGATATCCTCCCACTGTTCCCCCAACTCCCAGTAGGTGCTTTCTCTGCAGGGACTCCTGCATGGCACTGTCACTCTGAGACACCAGTGGGCTTCCCTTGCATGAGAATGCTGTAGCAAACTGCTCTGGATCATCACAGTGCTATCTGCATCTGAGGAGACATCTCCCTTATTCTGTTCATCTTGTGGCTTTGGGACTGAATGGCTCAAGAAAGAGAGGGGAAGGGGAAGGTGAAGAGGTTTAACTATTCAGTAATAAAAATAACCTAATCCAAAAAGCCCAAAAAAAAAAAAAAAAAAAAAAAAAACCAAAACCCAAAACAGAACAAAGCAAAGCAAAAAAAAAAAAAAAAAAAAAAAAAAAAAAAAAAAAAAAAAAAAAAGAAAAAGAAAAAGAAAAGAAAAGAAAAACCAATCCTAGTCCAACTGAGTAAAAGTTGAGCCACTTTAAAAACACAGAAGTGGGCAGAGGAGGGGCTGGGCGGATCCGGGCCGCCCGCATCGGCCTCCCTGCGCGTCCGGAGGACTGCGGATACCCCAGCCAGCAGGGAGGGACCACAGGTCCCCGAGGCACCGCGGCCCGTGGCGAGCGCCCAGCACACTCCGCCCAAATCCCAGACCGCTCCAGACCCTCCAGGCCACAGGCCGCGGTGCCTCAGGAACCTGCGATCCCTCCCTGCTTGCTGAGACATCCACAGTCCTCCAAACACACGGGGAGGCCGATGCAGGCGCCCCAGATCCGCCCAGCCCCTCCTCTGCACACCGATGGCTAGGTGCGGCAGTCCGAAACAGGCTGGGCTCCGGGGCTCAGCAGTTCTCCAAGCGCAGCCGGGATGGGGAGGTGGATATAGAGGCCTCAAACTCACTTCTCCACTCCACCGCACCCAGAAGCCTGGAGGGTCCGGAACAGTCCGAGGCCTGGGCAGAGTGCGCTGGGCACTCACCACAGGCCGCTGGCGCCCCAGGAACCTGCGATCCCTCCCCGCCCACCGAGACACCCACAGCTCCCCAGACACACGGAGAGGCCGACGCAGGCGCCCCAGATCCGCCCAGCCCCTCCTCTCTTGTGTGTGTTTTTGAGACAAGGTCTTGCTACGCCTTGGGCTTGCTTTGTAGCCTAGGCTGGTCTCGAACTTGCAACGATCACCCCACCTGGGTATAATATATTATTTGTAGCCACATATTTTGCACCTAACAACAACCTACTGTGTGTATATTGGGGGGTTGTCACTGGGGATCAAATCCAGGGCCTTGTGTATGCAAGGCAAGAGCTCTCCCAGTGAGCCACATCCCCAGCCTAGCATCCTACTCTTTTGTAGACAAGGTCTCACTGTATAGCAGCTTGGACTGGCTTTGTACTCACTATGTAGCCGAGGCTGACTTAGAATTCACAATCCTCCTGCCTCAAGTCTCCCAAGTGCTGGAACTATAGGTGTGCACCACCACGCCCAGCGTTTCCTTTATTATTGAAGGAACGTTTGAATTGCTTCTTGTTTTTCTTTCCATAAGTAGTATTGTATTAAATATCTTGGCTTTTGTCACAATACCTCTCCTGTATCTTTAGCGTGTAGCTTTATCTTGTTTTTTTTCCCTCTTTTATTAGGCCTGGCCTCATTCTGCAGAGCCAGTTTCTCCCTCACTCTTCACTTTTGTTTAAAAAAACAACACACACACAATTTAAATAATGCACCATTAAATATCTTGCTCAGTCATTTTTCTATAGCTTTATTGAGGTATGTATATTTCATATACCCTAAAATTCACCCATTTAAATAGTGCGATTCAGTTGTTTTTAATATAGTCACAGAATTATACAAACATCACTACAATCTAAATTTAGAACACTTTTAAATGCTCCAAAAAGAAACCCTATACATATTACTAATCATTTGCCTTCTCTATTACAATAGTCCCTAACCCCAACCCCCCACCCAAGGCAGCCACTGATCTGCTGTTTATTTCTGTGGCTTTGCCTATTATGGACATACAAGTAAAGAGAATCATACACTATGTGGTCCTTTGTGACTTGCTTCTACTTAGCATAATGTTTTCAAGGATCATTCGTGTTGTGTAGTGCGTATCAGTACTTCTCACCTTTGGTAGTTGAGTAATTTTGAATTGTGGATTTACCACATTTTATCCTTTCATCTATTAATGAATATTTAAGTTGTTCCTACTTTTTAGCTATTATATATAATGCTGCTATGAATATTCTTGTACAGGTTTTTAAGTGGACATATATTATTCAATAATTTGTTTTATTTTGTTAAGACAGGGTCCTGCAGTGTAATCTGGTCTGGCCTTGAACACACAAACCTCCTGCTTCTTTTTCTTTTTTTTCCTTCCTTCCTTCCTTCCTTCCTTCCTTCCTTCCTTGCTTGCTTCCTTCCTCTTTCTCCTCCTCCTCCTCTTCCTCTTCTTCTTTCTCTCTTCTCTCTTTCTCTCTCTCTTTCTTTCTCCTACAGTGCTGTGACTCAAGCCTAGCGTTGCATGCATGCTAGGCAAGTACTCTGTACCACTGAGCTACATGCCCAGCCTTGTCCAGTAATTTTTTTTCTGGTACCGGGGATCAAACTCACAACCTTGCCCTTGTCAAGCAGGCGCTTATGCTGCTGAGCTAAATCCCCAGCCCTGTCCAGTAATTTTTAAGGAAAACATTTATAAATCATGTTGATAAATAAATTCCTAGTTGGTAGAGAGAGAGTATAAAACTTTCAAATAACCCAAAAACTTTAGTCTCCTTTTTTATATTCTTTTTTGTCTTTTTTTTTTTTTTCTTTTTATCAGTACCAGGGATCGAACCCACGACCGCCTGCTTGCAAGGCAGGTACTTATGCCGCTGAGCTAAATCCCTAGCCCCTCTTTTTTATATTCTTTTTATCAACATTTTTAACTGTTTCCAGTTCCCTCTTAAGCCTTTATGCACATTCTGATAAATATTTTTCATAATAAAGTAAGCAAAAGCCACAAAGGAATGAAGAGAAGAACAAAGGCTTAAATATATTTAGTTGCTGAATCCTGATTTAGCCAGCCCTGATCATTAAAATGGGTACTCTGAAGCTTACGTAGAAAACAAAAATTGTTTGTGAACTTTATAGTTGTTTGTATCTTTCTTAGAGATAAGAAGGATATAGTAAATTTTATGGTCTTATAAGCAGAAAGCCTTAGATCAATGTAATAAATATTTTATCAAGATAGTTGATAACTTTGAGAAACAGTGTCTGTACTGGAATTCTGTGCCCTGCATCCTACCTGCTCTTCCTGTAGTCGGGAAATGGACAGATCTCTATTACATGAAATTACAAATTAGAGAAGCTGATGGGTTGCTGTTTGTGGTACTGGGGATTAAGCACAAGGCCCTTTGCACTGAGCTGTACTCTTTTTTTTTAATTGTTAATTTTGAAATAGTTTCATTAAATTGCTAAGTTACTCAAGTCTGATCTCAGATATGTGATCTTCCTTTCTCAGCCTACCAGAGTGCTGGGGTTACCTGCATGTGCTTGACTGAGAAACTGGTCATTTGAACTGAGGAGGAATAGGTTAGAGCTCCTTCTTCCAAGCTTGGCTTTTTTATTTGTATAACTGCCATAATTTTAAATTTTGTTCATGTGCTATAATTTTGAATTAGAAAGTTTAATAAGAGAATGAAAACTGGGCATGGTGGCACACGCCTATAATCCCAGCACTCAGGAGGCTGAAGCAAAAGGATTGCTTCGAGTTCAAGGCCAGCCTTGGCTACATAGTGAGTTCAGGGCAAGCCTGAAGTACAGAGCGAGACCCTTTCTCAAAGACAAACCAAACCAACCAACCAAACAAATCAAAAAACCCAAAAAGGGGAATGAAAGCAGTGGACTCATCACCTGAGGTAGAATAAATTGATTAGAGTCTGGTTTAAGTGCCACATCTATAAAGATAAAGACAGAATCTTAAAAATAAATACTAGGCCAGAGATACAGCTCAGAGGGATAGGCGCCTGCCTGGCAAGTGCAAGGTCCTAAGTTTGATTCCTGGTACCAAAAATAAACAAACAAAGAGAAGAGAGGGATTAGGGGTGGTAGAACCAGGAGTTGCTTCTCATTTATTTTCTTATACTAAATTGATCAGTGTCATAAACTAAGATGAAAGGTTGGAGAGAGTGTGTGTGTGTGTGTGTGTGTGTGTGTATGTGTGTGTGTTTTGTTTTTTATTTTTTTCTGGCACTGGAACACAGGCCTGCTATACTAGGCTACCAGTGAGCTATATACCTCTAGTAATATGAGTATATTTTGATACGTAAATTTAATTTGTTTCTTTAAAATTTTGGGCCAGGTTAGCTCAGTGGCACAAGCCGCCTGCCTGGCAAGCATGAGGTAGTAAGTTTGAGGCCTGGTACCAAGAAAAAACAAAAAAAACCCTAAACTTTTCCACTAAAAGTCATTAAGGAAAACTCTATTTAGGACCTATCAATTTTTGTATTTTAGACAAAGTTAATCTCTGTAATGATTATCTGACTTTTCCATTGTTGTTGTAGTACTGGGGATTGAACACATGCATGCTAGGCAAGTGTTCTGTTAATGAGCCACATCAGCCCTTCTGTGACTTGTAAGTGGCTTGTAACTGGTAACTAGTAACTTTTCCCAAGGTCTGGCTTAGAGCAAGTTTTGATACTACTATCAATTAAATTAGGTTTCTCTTTTGCCCTGTCTTCAGCCTTTACCAGCACAGGCTTTGATCGTCACACTTCTCCTGTGTTCAGCCCTGCTAACCCAGAAAGCACAATAGAAGATTGCTTGGCCCATCTTGGAGAAAGAGTGTCCCAAGACCTGAAAGAGCCTCTGCATAAAGCATTACAAATGCTCCTCAGCCAGTGAGTTACTGTTGCTGAGGGGGAATGTGCTTCTCTAGTAGTCTCTGGATCTCATGCCACGCTGGATTGGTTAAGGCTTTACTTTAGGTGAACAGTGTCACTTTTCTTCAGTTTTTCTTCTTTTGCTTTCCCAAAGCAGCTGCTTGTGTTTTAAATGATAGCCTTGCTTCAAAGAAGTGTTCCACATAGATTTTGTGCTTTGTAATTACTTGTTCTGCTATCAGATTTCAACAGATGTGTTTATAACATGGTAAACACAAGCTGTTGTACTTGTCCTGACCACTTTTTGCTACCATTCTTTCTAGTGGCCAGCATAAGTAAAATGGCTCAGGTTTCATGCATTATAAAGTGTGAGATAAACATTATCTCAGTTTCTTGAGTATCTGTGTTTAACATATTTATATCCCAGATTTGCTAAACTTTGGGTTGCACATATGCCTGTTGAAATGTTTCTATAGTCTTACAGCGGGCTTCCCTCATAGTTATGGTTCTGACCATAACTATATTAGGGTAAACAAGCTAGAAAAATGAAAGTAGATTAATACATAATTAATTCATTTGTTCTAAATCTGTTTTTTGTTTGTTTGTTTTGGTGGTACTGGGGATGATGGTACAGGGCCTTTGCAATTAACTACATTCCCAGCTCTTTTTTTATTTTGAGACAGATCCTTGCTAAGTCACTAAATTGTCCATGATGCACTCAAACTTGCCATCATCCTGCCTTAGCTACCCAAAAAGTGCTGGAATTATTGGCATATACCACTAACTCTGCTTGTTACCAATCTTAAAAATCAATTTTTCTTAGCGTTTTTTTTTTTTTTTACTGAAATTTTTGGTGTGAATTAGAGAAGTGTCCTAATGAAGATTAACAACTTTATACCATTAGGATGAACTCTTCCTTACTAAAAGTGCTGAAATTCTGATGCCATGTCACTGTTTCAATAAGGTAATTCCTTACTTTTTATTTTTTTTTTGTACCAGGGATCGAACTCATGATCTTGTGCTTGCCGGGCAGGCGCTTATGCCACTGAGCCAAATCCTTGGCTGTAATTCCTTACTTTTATATAGGCAAAATCTGTAGTTTCTCCTTTGTTAAAAGGAAGTCATTTGGGTTTTAGGAGAGTTCAGTTTGTTTCTGCATGTTCTGGTGAAATGAGCAAATGTAAAAGCCCAATTATAGGGCTGGGGATTTAGCTCAGTGGCATAAGCGCTTGCTTGGCAAGTGCAAGGTCATTAGTTCAATCCCTGGTACCAAAAAAAAAAAAAAAAAAAAAAAAAAAAATCCCAATTATGTACAGTAAGATTAGAGTACAATTTTAATTTTCTTTACGACAAAAAAATCTAAAATATTTTAAAACTAAAGATTTATGACACTAGAATATTTTTCAAGTTGAAGATGAACGAGAGGAGCTGGAGTAAGTAAGGACAATAAATTGTGCCTGTTTTTGGCTGGAAATCTTACAGTATGAAGTCCTAGAGGGCAGAGAGACTAGCCTCTCCGGTAATTTGCATATGAGTACTAGTCACACCAAACCCCAAATCATTGGGTGATGACAACACTCAGGTGTCACTAATTTGGTGAAGAACTTCAGGTACTATATTTTAGTATGGTTTCATATGTAAATAAAACAAAAATGTGATACCATGTAACTGAAGAAATCAGTAGCTTGGCTGATGGAGTCAGTGAAACTTATCCACACATTTTGTGAAAAGTATTAATAGACATGTAAAAAAGCAGAAGGAGCCTTGCTTGTAGAATCGTAAAATTTCATTTCAAAGACATCTTTATCTCGGACCATTCTGGTCTCTTGATTTCTTCAGCCTGTGAATGTTTAAGATTGATATAGCTATAACTTACTTGTAGCTTAGTTTTTTATATATTTATAGTTTGCATTATGTAATGTACATTTAAGGAATCAAAGCTCAGAAAAGCTAAGAGACTATTCCAAAACCACATGACTGGCAAGCAGCAAGGTAGGAACTTACATCCAAATAGATCTGTCTGTTCTCAGTTCAAGTTAGGATTCTGACATATGCACAGCAGTGTCTAAATGCCACATGTGGCTGAGTGTCTGACATGTCTGGGTTGTGCAAAAAATATAATATATGTACCAGGTTTTAAAGAGTTAGTAAGAAAAAAAAAGACTCCCGGGGATGTAGATTAGTGAGAGATTACTTGCCTAGTGTGGGAGGTCCTTGGTTCAGTTCTTAGCAGGTGTAGGTGTGTGTGTGTGTGTGTGTGTGTGTGTGTGTGTGTAAAAATATCTCACTAATTGTTTTTATATTGAACTTTTTGAAATATTTTGAATATACTTTGCTAAAATATATTATTATACTTTTAAAAATCAGTTTATTTTTTTTAATGTGACTTCCAAAAATTTTTGAACTCTCTCTATATAGCATTATATTATTTAGGTAATGTTATTTGCTGTTACTTGATTCGCAGTAATCCGTGTATTCATCTACAGCATAGAAGTTCTGCTAAATAAGTTCTAAGTAATTATAAAAAAATTTATTACAGATGGACATTTCGGGGGGTACACCTATAATCCTAGTGTCTAGAGAGGCTGAGGTAGGAGGATCACAAGTTTGAGCCCAGCTTGGGCAACTTAGCGAAACTGTTTAAAAAAAACCAGACAGACTAGGGATGTAGCTCAATGCAAAGGCCCAGGGTTCAATCCTCATTACAGTAGGGGGAAAAAGAAGTACACTGCTATATGTTAACTGCTTTCTCTGATGTGCATCTCAGCCTATGGGATGCTTGGAAAAAATGTATACCCAATATTGAAAGCTAGATCTTACCTAAAGCAGTATGTTAAATAGCTCTAGTCACTGTCGCAAAACTTCAGCAACAGAACATTACTGGTATCTGTATATTAATTCACGTGGGAATTTAGAACTTTCCTTTTTTGTGACACAAACTTTTAAAAAATCCCTACAGGCCAGTGACATATCAGGCATATCGAGAATGTGTCCTGGAGACTGCAGTTCATGCCAGCGGCTGGAATAAGGTAGTAACCAAATTACCTTTACTCTTAGGAGATTGCAGTGCGTTAATGATAACATATAGGAAGAACTTTTTAAAATCATGCAACAAAAACTATTAGAACTCCTTAATATATAAATCCAACTGTGTTAAGTGAACACTTGTGGTTTTGGGGTTAATGCTGCAAAGTTCTTTTGGGCCTCAACATATGTGCCCCATAGTGTGCCACCCTTCCTTGCTGTGTACCCTGAATTTCTCATGATTTGTTCATTTCTCTGTGTTAAACATGATGTTTGTTTCCAGATGGTTATTTATCAATGTGTGAATATATTTCAGAGAAGGATAAAGTCTCTATTTGGAGGATAGACTCCTCTGATTCTCTTACGTAATAATAGCATTTGTGTTTTATAGTTTATAGGTTGCATCTTGTTTGATCATCACAATCCTTTGAAGAAGGCAGAATAGATTTTATTGCCTTTGTTTTGTTTTTAGCCTTTTTTGAGATAGGGTTTCACTATGCAAGTCAGGCTGATGTTGATCTGACTTTGTAGCCCAGGCTGGTCTCAAACTTGGAGTGATCTTCCTGCCTCAGCCACCTGAGAGCTGGAATAATATGTGTGCACCACCATGCAGCTTTTTTTTTTTTTTCCTTTGGTACTGGGGATAGAACTCATGACCTTGTGCTTGCTGGGCAGGGGCAGGCACTGTGCCACTGAGCTATGTCCCCAGCCCTTGTGTTGTTATTTATATACTTTGGACAAGAAACTAATGAAAAGAAAGAATTAACGTTTTTAGGATCTCTTGACTAGTAACTGAGGGAAGTAGCACTAGTGCTATGGTCTTCTGATTTGCCAACAGTATTTTTCCTAGTGTATCATACTACCAATCCACTATCTTAGGCTCTATTATCCATTTTCAATTACTTGAAAAGGTGTAGATTAAGGTAGTGAAATGTGAGAAGAAACAGCTCTGAGTGATCCATTGCTGGGGATGAGAATGTTGAGGACAATTACTTTTATAGGTAATTGTGCTACCTCTGTGCAGAGCTGTTTATATAGGCACCCTGTGAAGTCATCTCTCTCCGTGGTGGATTGGTACCTGCACCTGTCTCAGATACCAGAATTCTTAGATGCTCAATGCCTTGTATAAAATGGTGGTGTCTGCATGTAATTGTCTATGTATCTTTCTATTTATATAAATTAGCTCCAAATTACTTACAATATCAAATACAATGTAAATGCTGTGTAGTGTTAGATGTTGTGTACTTTGGAGAATAATGAGAAGGAAAAGAGTACATGTTGAGTGCAGACACAATTTTTCCCCAAATATTTTCAAGCCAAGGTTGGATATAGAACTTGAAGATATAGAGGATTATTTACAGGCATGTGTCGTCATACTCAGCCGCTCTGTCCTTTCTTGATGGCTCAGTGGTTCATTAGCAAAAAGCCCACTGGGGGTTTTAAGAGAGGAGCAACATCAAATTTATAACATCAGGTTTACAAAGATAAAGCTACCTGGAAAGTAAGTGAAATGCAACTAAAATACTCAGAAAAAAAATGTGTACCATGCATGGCAGGTTGGAGAAAACTGAGTTCATTTCTTTTTTTTTTTTTTGTCTTTTTTCCTTTCCTTTTTATGGTACCAGGGATCGAACTCAAAACTGCCTGCTTACAAGGCAGGCGCTTATGCCGCTGAGCTAAATCCCCAGCCCCCCTGAGTTCATTTCTAAAAGGCTTCCCTCACCCTCATTTTATTTATTTATTTTTATCTTTTTCCTTTTTATCGGTACCAGGGATCGAACTCACGACTGCCTGCTTGTAAGGCAGGCGCTTATGCCTCTGAGCTAAATCCCCAGCCCCTTTATTTATGTTTTTAAAAATTAGTACATATTTGCTGTGCACAAGGATCACATTGATCACAGGGAATTTGTACTTTTACATAACACAGCTTTTGTTTTGTTTTGGTACAGAGAATGGAACTCATGACCTTGTGCTTGCCAGACAGGCGCTTACACCTCTGAGCTAAATCCCTGGCCCTACGTAACATTCCTCTCACCTCCTTTCAACACTTTTTCCCATCTTGATTTCCAGAAGCTTTGTTTTCATTTTTTTCTTTCATTCTCTTTTTTTTCCCTTTTTCCTTCCTTCCTTTCCCCCTTCCCACTCCTAAAGGACTTTTAAAGGCATCTTTGTAGAATGCTCCTCTAAGAAAGTAAAAAAAGTGAAGGAAGAAAACTAGTCACAAGGCAGTATTAATAATATGATCTGTTTGTTTAAAAAATATACTTGTATTGAGGAGGGGTGCAGCTCAGCAGTAGAACTTGTGCTTAGTATGCCTGAGGCCTTGGGTTAAGCCTGCATGTATAGATGTCAAAGATGTATACCAAGAAAAAGAATTGGAATGACATGCCCTTATAAAGACGTGTACTGGGCACTGAGCCCAGGAGCATTCCTCCCCCAAGCTACATCTCCAGACCTTTTTATTTTTTGAGACAGGGTCTCTGAGTTACCCAAGCTGACTTCAAATTTGCCTTCCTCTTAGCTGAATCTCCAAGTAGCTGGAATTACAGGCATATATTACCCTATCTAATGGTGCCAAAATGTTTTATGTTGAAGCCATTTCAGAGTTACAGGTGATTTGTGTTCCCTTTTATGGAAATTATTTTTTACTATGTATTTAGAAGAAAAAGGAAAATATGACCATTAAAGAGGAGAAACTGGCTAGAATGTCAGTGGGGCTGCATGATGTTCATTGAATAACAGATGGGCTTTACAAAATAAATAGCAGGCTGGGGATATTGCTCAGCGGCACAAGCACATGCCTGGCAAGTGCAAGGTCCTGAGTTTGATTCCCAAAACCAAAAAACAAATAAATAGATGGATACATAAATAAGGAGCTAGCAAAGGTAGATTCTTCCACTTATTTTTAGTGGGCATATTAAACCCCTAATATTTTTAAGTCTCACTGAAATTTCAAACACACAGAGAAACAGCACAGTATAACAAATCCCATGTATCTATCAATTAACTTTAATTATCAGTATATGGGTGGTCTAGTTTCATTTGTCCCTCCCATTCTCCTTTTCCTCCATATCATTCCCACCCCCCTTAAGTTTCTTTTTTTACAGTGCTGAGGATTCAACCCAGTGTCTTACACATGGTTTAGTCTCTACCGCTAAATAGTATCTGCCTTAATTTGTGAAGCTTTTTTTGAGCCAGAATATCTGGCCTCAAACTCTCAGTGACCCTTCTTGCCTAATCTCTGGAGTGCTGGGACCACACCTGGCATCACTGAACTCCCCTTTTCTTAAACTTACTGATAATGTCATTATTACACCTAAAATAGTGACAGTAGTTCTTTAATACCATTTTATAATTAATTAGTATTCATATTTCCCTATCTCATAAATATATTTTAAAATTTTGTCATCACTTACTGTTTTGAGGCAAGATCTTGCTAGGTCAGGCTGGCCTTAACTCATTTTGTAGCCCAGGCTGGCCTTGAACTCAGTGATAACCCTCCTTCTGTGGCTTCCCGAGTGCTAGGACTACGGGTGTGTGCACCACAGCAGGTTATCACTATATTCTAAAAGGTGGTTTGTTTCAATCAGGCTCTGAATACAGCCCATGCATGGCATTTGTGTGATATATTTAAGACTTTTTGTTCGTTTGAGACAGATTTGCATAGCTTACTTATTCTTGCCTTGACACTGAAATTCTCTTGCCTCAGCCTTTCAAGCAACTAGGATTAGGGGTGTTCACCACCCTGCCTGGCAGTCTCTCTCTTTTTTTTTTTAAATTTGAATACAATTCACCTGTCATAAAATTTTCCCTTCTGACTTACTCTGCATTTCAGAAGTTTCCAGTGTATTTAAAAAGTTGTGCAATCACTGCCTGTAATTCCAGCACATTCTCATCATGCCAGAAGAATATCTAGTAGTGGTCACTCATTTCCTGTTCCTTCCAGCATGTGGCAACAATTTCTGTCTGTGAAACTGCATATTTTGCTTGTTTGTTTTGCTTGAAACAGGGTCTGCTATGTAATTCAGATTGGCCTTGAACTCACTATGTAGCCCAGGCTGGCCTCAAACTCAGTGATCCTCTTGCCTCAGCCTTCTGAGTGCTAGGATTACAAGTGTGTACCATCACACCCATCTTTGAAATCATGTTTCCTATGGGCTGGAAGGTTTAGCTCAGCGGCATAAGCGCCTGCCTTGCAAACAGGCAGTCGTGAGTTCGATTCCTGGTACCGATAAAAAGGAAAAAGACAGACAAAAAAAAAGAAATCATGTTTCCTGAACATTTCTTCTATGTATAATATATGACTTAAATCTATTTTTAGGAACCCTCCTTTTTCCTCTTTAACTTACAGATAAGTTATTTGTTCCATAAAATTTCCTTCCTTCTAGATTTTATTGAGATGTCACATACATGTTTTTTTCCCTCTCCCTCTCCCTCTCCCTTTCCCTCTCCCTCTCTTTTTCTCTCTCTGTCTCTCTCTCTCTCTTTTGGTGCTGGGAATCAAACTTAGGACCTCACATTTGCCAGGCAGGGGCTGTGCTGCTGAGCTATATTCCCCAGTCATGTACCTGTCTTTCTTTTCCATTGCAGGTAGATCCAAAGGTTGATCAAATTCAGTTTAATCTTTTTGGCAAGAATACTTAACTGGTGTTTTTATCTAATTTCTGTTGCACCCCACTGGATGACATATCATGTCTGATTATATCTTAAATTACATTTTTTTTTTCTTTTGGTACCAGGTATCAAACTCATGATCCTCACACTTGCAAGGCAGGCACTTATGCCACTGAGCTAAATCCCCAGCCCTAAATTACATTTTTAAACAAACAAGTTAAAGATGGTGAAACTGAAATCAGTGAATTAGCTACAGATGAAGTTTGTGGGATATGCTATTTAATAGAATTTTAAGGGTACAGAAGGGTTAGCTAGATTGATGGACAAGTATATATAGCTTATCATCCAGATATCCATTATATCAGAAAGGATGCCCAGAGCTATGTATTAGTGTGTTTCATTTCTACGCAAGGCAAGCTTGTATATTCTTTGTTGTTTTGTTTTTGAGCTAGATCACCCTATCGCAAAAAGACTAGCCTTGAACTCACTGTGTGTGCTAGACTCACCTTTAACTCAAGGCAGTCCTCTTGCCTTACCCTTCCAAATGTTGGGATCACAGGTGTGTGCAACTGTGCACAGCAGGCTCAGATATTCTTTAATAAAACATAATGGTGACTCTAATCAGGCCAGGGATATAATTCAGCAGCACAGCACCTGCTTGGCAAGCACAAGGTAATGAGTATGATCCCCAGTACAAAAAACAAAAAAAAAAATTGAGTCTAATCTGCTGCAGGAAGAGATCTCAAAGTACTTATGAGGAGATGCCAGGGGATTGAATAGGGGTAAAGGTAAACTAATGGGAGTAAATGTTTTTGTTACTATTGTTGCTATTGCTGCAGTTGCTGTTGGTATTCTCACTGAGCTGCACCCCCAATCTGTTTTATTTTTATTTTTTATTTTTTGAGACAGGGTTGGGTTTGAATTCAGCAGTCCTCCTGCCTCAGCCTCTCAGAGTGCTGGGATTACAGGTGCACTACCACACCTGGCAAGATAATCCTTTTTGATGGTCAGAAATACTATAAAATTCCATTGCAAAAACTATCAAAGAAAAAATAATTTGTATGCAGCATGAAGGTTATTGTTGTCCAGTAAGAAAATGGCTTAGAGAAAGAATCAATATTTGCTTGATTTTTGGACCTATATGTGTAAATATTGAAACTGTATCTAAATGGATATTGATCTAGTTTTAACATTTCAAAAACAGTAATAAAGAGGAGCATAAAAATCAGATTACAGATTATCTAGAGTACTTGTGGGTAGTAGAATGCAAGTTGATAAAGATCAGGTATGGAAATAACTTGTGAAACTTTGTGTAGAAAGCAAATGAATTTAACTATTTAAAGTTAGTCTTACTGGGCATGGTGGTGTGCTACTGTAATTCCGGTACTTGGGAGGCCGAGGGAGGAGGATTTTATGAGTTTGAGGCTAGCCTGGGCTACATAAGCGAGTTCAGGGCCAATCTGCACTACATAGTGAAACCCTGTCTCAAAATAAAATAAGGTAAGGTGAGGTAAGGTAAGGTAAGGTAAAGTAAAGTATCTGGCCAGGCATGGTGGTATATATTTATAATTTCAGTACTCTGGGAGGCTGAAGCAGGAGGATCACAAGTTCAAGCCCAGCCCGGACAGTTTATCAATTTAGCCAGGGCCTGTTGAAAAATAAGAAATTAAGAAAAGGGCCGAGGATACAGGTCAGTGAGAAGGCCCTGGGATTAATCCTCAGTGCCAAAAATGAATAATTAAATAATCCAGACTGTACTGAAAAACTAGGTTTGCGGTCATCAGGCGAGTCCATGAAGAAAGTGTGACAAATAAGTAAACCTGATTTCCAGTAGTCATTTCATAAGTTCATCATCTTACATAACATGTATTACCAATCAACCAAATAAAAATGCCAGTTCTGTAAAATGAAATTTCTCTACCTGGTTTTGGATTTCAAGAAAGACATTTTTGGAATGGAGAAGATCCAGGAAAGAATAACTAATAAAAGTAACGCAATAATTGCCATATAGACAAATTAAAAGATTAATTTTCAGCCTGAAAGTTTAGTGAATGACTAGGAATACAATCAAGGAGTGAAACTGACAGTAGGGAAAAAAGATTACAGGTTTATCTCTACATTAGTGTATGTAAAGTCAGAGTATCTACTTTTTGTTACAACAAAAGAGGTAACTTACACCAAATAAAATGAAATATTATTTTATATATCTGCTTATAAAATATAACTTGTTTCCCTAAGAAGTAATAGTGTTTAACGGCCATTACCTCAAAGTGTTATGTATTTATGGATTGTTACAGAAAATCATAATGTTTTGAGGTACGGAACATTCAAAGCCTTTGAATTTGGGGTAGGAATTAGCAAGGCTGGCTCACAAGTCTTACCTGTTCCTATCCAAGACAAAATACTGGGGCTAGATGGACAATGATGTTTTTGTTTTTCTTTTTCTTTTAATAGCATGATAGGTTTTCTTATTATAGAAAGAGAAGGTTTTCTTATTATAGAAAGAGACTAATATATTCTTTATAACAGCTAGGAGTGTTAAAAATTTTTGTTGTTGTTTGTTTTGTTGTTTTGAGGCAGGGTCTTGCCATATAGTTCAGGCTGACATTGAATGCACTGTGTAGCCCAGCTCACCTTGAATTGATAGCAGCCCTCCTGCCACAGTCTCCTGAGTGCAGCGATCATAGGTGTGCACCACCGTGTGTGGCCTAAGAGAATGGGCTTTTTTGGGGGATACTGAGAATTGAATTGAGGACCTGTGTTTTGCCAGGCAGGCACTGTGTCATTGAGCTGTATCCTAGCCCAAGAATGGGCTTTAATATGTTTGGGACTGCAGTTCTTTTAGAATGTCAAAAGCAAGGAAATGTGTTTGTTACATTCTTTCTTCTAGACTTGAATATAGTTCTCCTGAGGGCTGCTTTTACTTCAAAGCCATTGAATATTAATATGAAGTATAAACTCAGGTTTTTGTTTGTTCTTTTCTGCAAAAATACTTTGTTGTCCTTCAGTTATTTCCGTACTAATCCAATAAAAGAAGCTAAAATTGGTTTCATTTCCTTCTCCAGTCAGGTGGAGGCCTCTTGGAGTTTTAGACAAGAGATTACATGCAGATGGCTAGTGGAAATAATTACATATTTTCTTTCTGAGCTGTCAGAGATCAAATTCAGAACTTTACACATGGTAGGCAAGCACAGTCCCACCTAGGTACACCCCCAGCCCTTTAGTTTTTTAATATGCATTTTAAAAGAAAGCAACAGGCTCTACTTTCTGGGGTAAGTTTTGATGACTTTTAAATATTGAATGTAGGATTGTTAGGTATAAATTATGATGCTTCATTGATATTTGATTTTTTTTTTAAATCGGTACCAGAGATTGAACTCACGACTGCATGCTTAGCTGCTAAGCTAAATCCCCAGCCCCTATATTTGATTTTTTGATGAGTTTTGCCAATATCATAATTTTAAAAAGTCTTTTCAGATAGTATAAGGATATGGTAACATACAAAAAGTATAGAAAGACATGAATGAAGAAAAGAAGTTTTTTGCCAGACCTGGTCGTGCATACCTGTCGTGCCAGCACTTGGCACACTGAGACAGGAGGACTGTTGTGACTTCAAGGCCAGCCTGGCTATGCACTAAGTTTAAGGGCAGCCCGAGCTACATAGCAAGACCTTGTTCTTAAAAGAAAAAAGTTTTCTTCCCTTGTGTTGTCAGGCACCTAATGCCATCCTCTTAGGCAACTGCCATCACCAGGTTCTTGTGTGTTTTCTTTCAGAGTTATGTATGTGTGTACATGATTTGTTTTGTTTTCCCTCAAATGGAATTGTGCACTCTCCTGTATCTTACTTTTTTCAATGAAACAAGTTTTGGTGCTGGCTAGTGAACAATCTAAATCTTTTTAACAACAAATTTTACTGGATGGACTGAATTTACTAAACTAGTCCCTGTTGAGTTGTAAATACTTTTGATACTGTAAATAATGCTTCTTTAAATTTCTTCATGGATGTATGTTATTTGGCACACATACATCCCCAATTACTTTTATAAAACTCTACTATCCTTGGGTGAAATCTAAGTTTAAGATTCAGAATAATCCTAATAGGAGTTAGTGTTTTCTTTTATAATGAGAATGAAATACCTGAAGATGCTTCTAACTATAATATTTCAGTAGTTGAGCATACAAACTGCATGATGAGAATTTCAGAGTTTTTTTCCCCTTTTGTCTTTACATGGAAGATATTGGTGGCTTTGATTTTGCTACAACGAATGCTTTTAGAACTGACAAGACGCGGTGAAGAGCCTTTGATTGTACTGCTGCAGTTTGGCGTGACATACCTGGAGGACCATGCAGCAGAGTACATCATTCAGCAAGGTGGCTGGGTATGAGCTATGTATTTTTAAAAGATCTTTCCTTAAGAAGATTAAGCCCTTTGTTTTTAACAGCGTGAACTTATATTGATGTTGGATGATGATCAACATCATATGTTCATACAGTTTAAGCTACAAAGATTTTACTTATAGTAAATTCATTGTGGTTTTCTCTCTCTCTTTGTCTTTCTGTCTCTCTGTCTCTCTATCTTTGTTCTTTGAGACAGGATTTCAATGGTGATCTTCCTGCCTCTGCCTCCCTAGTGCTGGGATTAAAGGCATGTGCCACCATAGCCAGTGATATGTGGTACTTTTAAATAGTTTTTCTTTTATATCTTTTTGAGACAGGGTCTTACTATGCAGTTCAGGCTGGCCTTGAGCTTGTTTTGTAGCCCAGGCTGGTCTCGAACTCACAATAATCCTCTTGCTTCAGTCTACTGAGTGCTAGGATTACAGATCTGCACCACCACACCTGGAAATGGTTCTTAATTTATGAAACATTTAATACTAACAAAAATACATAAATGAGTGGTGAGGAAGAATAAAATCAGCGTGTCTCAATCCCAGTCTAAAGCACAGCGTATTTTGCGGGGTGAGAGGGCAGTGTTGGCGACTGCACTCAGACCCTTCCACATATGGTCAAGCAGTCAGTCACTGAGTCGCTCGTCCCGCCCACATGACTGACACTGGGGTTTTTTTGGTGGTACTGGGGATGGAACCCAGGACCCAAAGCAAGCCTAGGCAAGCACTCTTATCACTGAGCTGTATACCCAGCCCTCATTTTATATTTTGAGGCCAGACGTTGCTAAGTTGCCTAGGCTGGGCTAGAACTTGGAATTCTAGGGTCTCCTGAGCAGCTGGATTGCAGATGTGCATCATCATACGCTGACTCTTTGTTTTTGTTTTTGTTTTTTTTTTTTTTTGGTCTTTTTCCTTTTTATTCGTAATGGGATCGAACTCATGACTGCCTGCTTGCAAGGCAGGCGCTTATGCCGCTGAGCTAAACCTCCAGCCCAACTCTTTGTTTTTGTAGACAGACTGTCACTGTTTGACTCAGGCTTACTTGGAGCTGGCCGGTGCCCTAGGCACCTCAGAAAGACCCTGATTTAAAATGAGAAACAAAAACGACTGGGGGAATGGCATGGCCCTGGAGCCCTAGACCCTGGTTCAGTTCCATACCAGCTAACTGACTAACTTAGGGGTAGTTCTGGAAGACAGCTGTGCTCACCACTATACCACCAAAGCTACTTTGGGATACTTTTTGGATCTACAAGAGTTGCAAAAATTAGAGTTCCGCTCTGTGGTGGCCCATTTGGTGATGCACTTCGACCAGTAGGCCAGGCAGGCTATTTGTATCACTGAAAGCTCTGAAGGATTTATCAGAGCTGTACTGCTCTGTATAGCTGCACTGCTGCGGGATAGCGTCTGTGTCACTGTGGTCCATTTGCTAAAACTAATAGATAATATTTGTGTGTTAAATTAATGGAAGTCCAGGCTTTATATAGATTTCACCCATTTTCCAGTAATATCTTTTTTTCTGTTTAGGATCTAATCCAAGTTTTTTGTTGTTTTGTTTCAGTTTTTGTTTTTTTGAGACAGGGTCTCACAACATAATTCAAGCTGGTGTTGAACTCACTATCTAGGCCAGGCTGGCCTCAAATTTGTGGCAATCCTCCTGCCTCAGCTTCGTGAGTGTTAGGTGCCTGTGCCACCATACCTGATTTACCACATTGTATTTAAAGATTTACATTTTCATTCATCATAGGTATAAATAATAGCTCATTGTGGATATACATTTCTGGGAGCACTAAGAACCATTAGCCTTTTTTCATGTTTGTGTTTTTTGGGGGGCGGGGGGAGCTACCGGGGATAGAACTCGGAACCTAGCACTTGCCAGGCAAGCACTTGGGTCGCTGAGCTAAGTCACTGGCCCCTTTCTTCATGTTTATAAACCCTTTCTTTGTATTTCTTCATCTTTGACCTACCTTGGCTTCAAGTTATTTGCCCACTTCTATTGAATAGTTTTGTTTGTAGTAGTACTTTATATATCTTAATCTTTTGTCAGTTTTATATTATAAATTTAGAACTTGCAGATTTCCATATAATTTATGAATCCTTTTATTCTGGTTCAGGGGATTGAATTAAGGGCTTGAACACGCAATGTTCAGTACTTAGCCTGAGCTCAGCTCACATCCGAACGTCTCTCCTCTTTGTGCTCTCTTCTTCCCCGCCTTCCTCCCCTTCATCCCCTTCTTGTTTTCCTGTGTGTCACTGGGGACAGACCCCAGGGCTTCATGAATGCTAGGCAAGTACTCCTTCACAGGCTACCCCCGGCCCTTTTTATAAATTTTATTTTAAGACAGATCTTTACTCTTAAGTTAGACAGACCTCAAACTTGTGATACTTCTGCACAGCCTTTAGAATCACTTGGACTTATAAGCATGTGTCACCATGCTTAGCTCCCTTTTCTCTTCTTAAGAATGCTTTTATTAATTCAGTCATAAATATAGTCTTTTATGTTTATGTCTTATATTTAGTCTTTTATATTTATACCTTGTACTTTTATATTTGTACCTAATGTTTTTATAGAGTGTTACAAAATACTTTTATATTTATACTGTATTTTTTAATTTTTGGAATAGCTGTAATTAAATCCTGGATCTCACACATGCTTACATTATTTTTATAACTTTATAATTTTTTTTTTCAGTTTAACGTATGTAGAATTATTGGTATGGTTTGAGCTTATAGATTATTTGGTGTCCCAGCACCATTATTTATTAGTCTCTCCTTACCTGACTAATAGGGCAGGTTGTCTCATAATTCAGGTTTCCATCTGTTCATGTTTATCTGAGATGTCTATTCTGTTCCTTTGGGCTATTAGTCCTTTGGTCTGGTAGGCTGGGCTCCATGAGGCACAATGACACTATCATAATTACTTTAAAGCATAATTACTTTTGCTTTAAAATATGAATCTTTTTTTCCATTTTCCTATCATTCAGAAATACTGAAACTGAAATGGCTTTTTCTTTTTCATTATGAAGTTTAGAATTTTGTTGTCAAACTCTAGAAATTTTGTTGAGAACTGTACTGAACCTGTAATTTTCAGGATAATTCACATCTTACAATATTGAGTCTTCTAGTTTACCAACACAGTATGTACCTTCATTTGTTTATTTTTATTTTTATTTTTTTATTTTTTTTATTTTTATTTTTTGTACCAGGGATCGAACTCACAACCTCATACTTGGCAGGCAGGCAAGCTACTCAGCTAAATCCCTGGCTTACATCTTCATTTATTATATGATAAATTTTTTTAGAGATACCCCAAATGCTCTGAAATTTTTTTTTATATAGGATGTACACGGTACATACTTTGTTCTTTTCTTGTTTTGCTGTACTACAATTTGAACCCAGGGCATTTGCATTGAGCTATAGTCCTAACCTTTAAATTTTTTAAAAAATTTGAGACAGAGGGGCTAGGGATTTAGCTCAGCGGCATAAGCGCCTGCCTTGCAAGCAGGCAGTCGTGAGTTGGATCCCCAGTACCGATAAAAAGGAAAAAGACAAAAAAAAAAAAAAAAAATTGAGACAGGCTGGGGTAGCTCAGTGCTCAGTGCACACTGCCTGGCAAATGTGGGGTCATGAGCTTGATCTCCAGTACCAAAAAAACCAGAGACAGCGTCTTGCTAAGTCTCTTAAATTGCCCGGTTTGGACTTATATTTGTGATCCTTGTGCCTGAGTCTACTGCATGCTGAGATAAGAGGCATGAGTCACCACACTCGGCACTTACAGGACACATGTAATTCATTCCTGGGACTATTTCCCCAGTACTGAGGATTGCACATGGGCTTCACATGCCCCGTCTTTTATTTTATTACTTTACTTTATTTTTTTACTTTGTTTTATTTTTGGTTTGGTTTTGTTTTTTGAGACAGGACACTATGTATTCTGGGTTGGCCACTGTGTAGCTCAATCTGACCTCGAATTCATGGCAGCCTTTCTATCTCAGCCTTCAAGTGCTAGGGTTATAAGCATGCATCATCACATCTGGTCCTTATTTTATTAGGCTGGGCTCAAACTTGTAATCCTCTTGCTTCAGTCTCTTGAAAATTTTTTCCTTGATAGTATATGGTATCGAAATGGTTGCTGTTTTTTGTTGTTGTTGTTATTGGGAATTGAACTCAGGTCCCTGTGATTGCTAGGCAGGCACTGGGTCACTCAGCTATATCTCCCTGGCCCTGGAAATGTTTTTTTTTTGATTCTGGGGTCTGAACTCATGACCTTGCACCTGCCAGGCAAGCACTTAATGCCACTGAGCTAAATCCCCAGAAATGCTTTCTTATATAACTTTTTTTCCTTTCACATTAGGGATTGAACCCAGAGTCCTCACACTGAGCCAAGTCCCCAGCCATTTTAAAAGCTTTTTGAGAGTCGCCGTAAGTCACTAAATTGCCTAGGACGGGCTGGAACTGGTGGTCCTCCTTCCTCAGACTCCTTCACGCCTCATACCTGTTCCATGTTGATTTTATATCCAGCAACCTAGTTAAATTCTTAACATTCTGATTAGGTCTCAATTTCTTTGGGTTTTCCACATTGTTAATGATGAATGCAAATAAAGTTAGATTTTTTTTTTTCTTTTGGAGTCTATCCTTTTAAAATTTATTTCATTAAACAATAAATTGAATATTATGATATAGTATTAGTGGAATCCATGTTAACAAGTTTTCTTTTTCCTGATTTTAAAACAAATTTTTGAGCCAAGTATGGTGGCCCTATAATCCCAACACTTGAGAGGCTGAGACAGGAGGATCATTGCGAGTTTGAGACCAGCCTGGGCTACAAAGTAAGCTCAACGTGAGGCAAGACGCTGACTCAAAAAAAAGACAAAAAGTAAAACAAATGTTTACTATATTGTTAAGTCTGGTCTTTATTTTTTAATTTATTCTTTTTTTTTTTTTGAGAGGGCCTCACTGTGTAGTCCAAACAGACCTTGAACTCATTGTGTACC